AGTTGTTTATAATGCAGCTGTGCCAAACATTTAATTCACACCACGTTAAAATGAAGGAAGGCGGTCTGATTCTTCTCAGGAGGACGATGAGAACGAGTCGGCGGGATGGATGTCAAGCAAACATTTGTTTGGAACATAAACAGGACACTCGGGTCAGAAAAACCTAGTAAGTAAACATTTTATTGACCTAAAACATGCACATATGGCTGCTTTTTTGTAATTGGAAAAAAACAAAAACAAAGCATCATTGTTGAACGGAAAGAAGAAAAAAAGAAAATCAAAGGAATGCTTGGAATGCATGGAACTACAACATACATGGCCAAATATTCAAAAATCCCTTTTGAGTTCTTCGACTGCCATGAAGGAAAGAACGCTGACAAACAGCTTGGTAGTGCTTCTGTAAATATTAATGCTTCTCCTGTCGGGAAAATACTTGTCGGTTTGTGTGAAGTGACCGTAACAAAGTGCATCAACAGTTTAATGAGCATGTGTTACCTGATGAGCTGTTGCTTATACTGGACACTTATACAGCAGTTATTGACACATCTGACTGTTTAAAGCAAGAGTTTCTCTTCCTCGTCTTTACATCCAGCTTCAGCAGTGAGCCGCACTGCAATGCCTTTCAGCATTTTGTCTCAAGTTTCACGGAGGCCAAATCGATGCTTATGGAAATGAAACAGACCCACTGCGTGTACAATACAAAACGATTACAATATCTTGTATAAAAGATAAGTTTATACATATGTACGCACACATGCTCACATTTGATACATACTGTACAGTTTGTATGTGTGCACTGTTCTAGTCTAACACACATAAACACGCACGCACACGCACATACATACAAGTGTCTATTTGGCTGCACGTTTCAGTCTGTCCTGCTGGAAGATAACACAAATCTGCCTCCCGCATTTCCAGAAGGACGAAGGCCCGAGCTGTCTTTGCTCTGCACAAAGAAACAAGGAAGCAATTCAAACAGTGTCCTCCTCGCCGCCGTGTGCGTGCGCGTTAGGTCGTGGGAGGCAGGCCGCTTTTGTCGCCCCCCCTCGCCTCCTCTTTGCTGGCCCCGGAGCTCGTGCCGTTGACAGTCACCTTCCGAGCGGCCTGTTTGGAGGAGAGGGCGTGTCGCTGAGCGTTGTTGGACACAGTGGTACCGTTGGAGCTTTGGATGGCGGGAGAGAGGTTGTGGGACGCCGGGCTGGATTGAGAGGAGGCTCGGGCCGGCTGAGCGGCAGCGGGACTGTGGACTTTGTCGCTCTGAGAGTCGCTCTCCGACGTTGGGCTGGTGTTGACGCCGTCGGAGTGGCCCTGAGCAGCAGACTGGGACGGCCTCCGGCGTTTCCGGGTGGGTTTGACCAGATACTGCAGAGGGATGGGTCCAGTCTGCACGGACGCAGAGATACAGTGGGAAAATGTGTTTACAGGAGTTTACAGGACCTTAAGAAATCCCTTAAAAACACAGAGTCCATTTTTAAACTAGTCCCACACGTACAATAAACACTAAACCAACAAAAGGGTATTTGTCCTCTGATAGCTAGGAACCCAACAGCTACTCTGCTAATCTGGGCACCACGTTTGTTTAGGACAGGATCAATGGCGCAGCAGCTGAAATAAAAGCTGAAATCCTCAAAATACTAACCCAAAAAAACAAGTGCATCTTTTACTACCTCCATCAGCAGAGGGCTGACTGATCTGATCATTTCAAAGATAAATTCAAAGCAATGCTTCACCCAGCTGCTCACAAAGACAGTCAACACAGATAAAT